GTTTCAATATTCTGGGAGCACCTGGTATGTGGAGAACGAGGACATCTGTTAAATCACCAGGACGAATCATATTCAATGTAGATTTACATGCAAGACCTTTAATCCGGGAAATTTCCATAAAACAGACTACGTCAGTGCCAGTGAAGACGTCAGGTACGCGAACAGTGGCTCTGATTGTTTCCCCATTCTTAAAATGGAGAGTACCTGTTAAGACTGCAGGTACTACTATCCAATTTTTGCTGCTAAAATCACCCTGGGTAAATGAGTCGGTGGGGCCTGAGACACGCTGAGACTCGAGATCCATCTTCCTCGTAGAGTTGGGTAAAACATTCACCCTGGTGGTGAGCAATGGTACAGAATTGTGCATGGCACAATAGGTAACGGCACCAACAGTGATAGTATGTTGGATTGGCTGAACATCTATCATGTTGTGTCTAAGCGTTGGAAGACCAAATAATATGTCAGCTGGTAAGATAAAGTCCTTGACTATGTAACACACTTCCAGAAATGGTTTACCAATTGTAGAAAAACGTAGAGGTAGTGTTACCACTCCCGTAATGTTCAGCTGGTGAGGTGAACGTTGCTCTAGTTCTTGATAGGACGCTAATGAGAGTACATTTACACACACATCCTTATCTATATCTAAGGAAAGTGTGTTGGTATCCATCATCACCGGAATAGACAACACTTCTGATTTGTTCAATGCCACTATTAACAAAGCTGCAGTGTTGCTTTGCGTTGTTACAGTTGTACCTATCCCGCGTCTTGTTGAACAAGACGGTGGTTTTCCCCCAACTGCTTATAATAATAGTGACGACATGGCCATCGTGGCTGTCTATCATACCTCGAATCCTTACACCATTGTGGAGTTACAAAGTGCTGGGAATTACGTGAGGCAAAGTCATGTAATATACACCACATATCACATGTCAGTACAGTAGTGACTTGGTCGGAACAACTGCTGAATAGGACGGAGGTAGATGTAGTGGTGGTCTTGAATTTGCCGTCGGGGTTGTGTGGTGTTTGGGTATGTTACCACCTTGTTGGAGCCGGTAACAATAGTCAATAACATGACCATTAGTGTTACAGTGTTTCCTTAACAGTTGCTGTTTAGATTTCGTGCAAGTATCCTTGGAAACCTTGTAATGAACCGGCACCACAGGTGTAGCTGTACTGGCCAGTGAGGTACAGGCTAACTTAAGTGTGATCTTACGTGCATAAGAAAGCATTGTATCAGACGGGGCATAATCATCAGTCTTAGCTTGACCGTACGCAGGGTCCTGTAAACACAATACAACAGTTGCAATTTCATTAATGAGTGCAAACTATTCAATGATATGGTGCCGTCCTTGTGATCCTCATCTTCTGCAATTGCAATGTTCTGCACAACATCCTCACTTGAACCTGAAAATGTAACTACAGCGTATGTGATAACCATCTTCCGCTGTGAACTCGTGAATGAGGTCATTCTGCAGCAACACTTGAAATATAATGGAAGTGTTAGCAAATATGTTTGAGCCTGCTCTAGCCATTGTTCGTTGGGTGTTAAACAGCTTAGATGTCACTGAAGGAATAGAGGATGTAGGAGGTAAAGTGTACTGTCCTGACACACTGGGGATTGGTGGTTAAGGAGAATGAACAGATACATACTGAGGTGTTGTGTTGTACATACGACCTGACCTAAGTTGGGTACGGTGTAAATCACCAAAAAATTGATCTACTAATTGTTCACTATTCTCAATGGAAGTGTTTTGCTGTAGAAAAATTTGTATTCCATGCATATATTCCATGACACCAGTAACAATGCCACCTCCAACATGGTGAACTGTGGCAGTTACTATTGCATTTTCTGTTTGTTCAGAGGTATGAGAGTATTATAATCTTTTTGCTAAATGCATAATGTCTGAACCAGATAAATGAAAAAAAGCATTAATAAATGATAATTCAATCATACAAGATTATACTCAATAATAACCTTGCCCATGTTTATTTACATACAGTACTCAGACTTGAATTATACATTGTGGAAACAAGTATTTGCTAAAATTTATTAGTTTTTATGACAAAAAACTTACTCCATATAAATATCAACACCATCTCTGAAACATTTATCACTTTTAACCTAAAATATTATGACAATTATGATAATCTTGGTACCTTGATGCAATGGTTTCGTCAGTGACTCCCCCTCACCCACCATCCACACTCTATTCTTCGAGTATAACCCTTAAAGGTCTGACGAATCTTGGGAAGTCTCCCTTCAGAAACTGAATAGTAGGCTAAAAACGAAAATTATAAAATGAATGTTCTCGTCTTAGGAAATGTTAGACATACATATTAGTCAATAGGAAATAACATAATTATTACTGTACTCACCACCTATGGTTATTGGTGAGTTAGAGAAGTCAGCGAGACAGCGTACCTCAGCACCCCTCAAGCAGTTATCGCGCATTTGTGAGTGAACGGTAGTGCATTGCCAACTAACTCCATGTTCTTACAACTTTATGAACACCTTCATATGGTTCCTTATAACACTACAGCATATACAGTACATTCACCACTGTGGCTTGGAGTGGCAGGGCTTGGGAATTGGCATTTCAAGTGGGTAATCCAGAGAGGTAGATGCACGACCTTCCTCCATGGTGACAACAGTTATACTAATTATTTGCTTAAGATGCGGACATGTGGTCAAGGACAAGCGTGGGTGAGCGGGGATGAGTTATTGCAACAAGAAAGGCATATATTGTAAGGCGTTTTAGATGCACGGAATAGCTAATGCATTAGCTATTCCGTCTGCACAGACGCTTCTGCTGAGTTGTGCGCATGACACCTTAAGAGGGAAAAACAAACACCTTGATCAGGCATTAGCCTTGTGAAGCGCCTGAGCGGCCCAAATAGCTAACAACCAATCAGCGATTTCTCCCACTGAAAATATGTGAATCATGGATGCTTATGGAGAATAGTTTGATTAATATTGAAGAGTTGGAGGCATGTAAGGCAATAAAAATAATTCTATATACGGTAGTATATTGGATAAGACCTAAAAAATGAGTATGGCGTGAAAGAATTAAAAAGGATTGCGCCTAGTTGAAACCAGTTTTGGCTCCACCCATTTTTAAACGGGCGCTGTCCGATTTCATTAGCCGTTGGTGACTTTGGTGTGACAATATTGATAATTACTCAAATATGATTGAAACCTTAATATCATTACTCAGAAGATACCTTACATAAGGGTGAACAAGTTGCTACAAGCTTTTGTTCCTGAGCTGGACACCTTATCAGAAACCGGGCGGTAACCGACCCCCACAGACTCCAACGTTTTGTTTACTTACATTTCACCTCATATTTAGCCTATTGCTACCAGCAATAATAAACATTAACAATCGCCACACTTTACAACAGTTACATAAATACAAACAATACCCTAACAATCACCCTAATCCTACCACATAGAAATGTACATAAATATTACAAACTTATGTTACATTCTAAACCAGAGTACCACAATTTGCTATCAACCACAACAGGCTCCGCCGACCACCAGCTCCACACCCTCGTCCGTCCCGGAATGCTCTGCCCTCCTCCCTGGTGCACCGCTTCATTATAATTCCGTTCAAGATCTGAACAGCACAGATACGGAGCTCCGGAGAGCCTAACCATGAGCCCGAGTTATGGGCCATCCAATGTATCTCTGATCCATGACTCGAGGTCCGGAACATCGAGATGGGGGATCGAGTAACGGGGGTGGAGCAGTGGTCATGCAGCGGACAAACACGGGTCGGTGGTCAGGTACGTACCAGTCGGGTCCTCGAGCATATTCTATATCAAGCTTCGTAATAAAGTTGATTACAGTTCTGTAAGTGCAAAAATTAAAACTTAAACGAACCTGAAATTTGTCGTATTCCATGTATAAATATGCGAACACCTAGCCGCGAGAGAAGAAGCGTACAGCTGCTCTCGTTGTTACGTGTGGTTTCAGAGTCCGGGGGAAAACACCTTTACAACGGGCCCAATTTTTTGTGTTATTCTTATTTATTGTTGACTGATTGTCTTTTTTTTCCTTTTTCTATACATTTTCTTCACTATTTCTTTCTGTATTGTGTCCAAGTAACAGTTTTCCCAATTTTATTGTTTTCTGAAGACTGTGTTGTACAACAGTTATTCCCAAGACGTGGTACAATGTCGCACTTTTTAATGACAGTCTGGGATCACCTAATGCGTTAGCTATTCTGGGCATCTTAAAACACCTTAATAGTCATGCTACTCACGTGGTTAAATAAAAAAATGAAGTGCTAGAATGACAACATCAGACCCCTACTACGTCGGGCGCTCTGGGAGGGCGTCAGACCTTTAAGGCTTGAACGGCAAATTGAATTTAATGGCATGGTCCAGGTTCCGTTGATGCCGTTAAATCGAGGTTCAACCTGTACAGTACATTTTGAAAATGGACACCTATTTAGTTTCATTTGATATAAAGAATTATGCACACACTGTAGTTCTCAGTTTCTGTTAACCATATGCCTGTATTACAGCTTGTAATAAACAGTAAAGTAGTTTAATCCTTAGATGGCTAACATCAGACTACATTATTTCATAAACTTAGGAGAGAGATTGTATATTCCAAAGTTTAGAAAACTATCTCAATAATCAGCTTGAATTACGACCAACAGCAAGTATTTGTTTCATGTCTGTCTATCAGTTATCTATCAGTCTAACTATCGAGATTATAAGCTTGCCAGCGGAAATACTGTAAGGGAAGGGGCACCAAAGGCAAAAGTGGCTGAGGGGTGCTTGAGACATATGCTACTCCCCTGGTGAGAGTTATGACCTCTTTTAAGATCTGGACACAATGGTCTAGCACCTTCTTCCCAAAAAAATGTAACTTAAAAATAATTATTATTGGTTTGGAATAGATGTACAGGTATAACTTTTGGGATGTGAAAAAGTTGGTATGTAATTTATTATGAATCAAATATGAGCAAGGTGAAAAATACAATGTCTGTCATTCATCTGAAAATAATTATATTTCGCCTTTTACAATATTTCATATACTACAGTATTGTAAATAGATAAAGGAGTTACTTAAACATCTGAAAGTAATTATATTTTATCTTTTACAATAATTCATATGCTGTACTATCATGAAGTTAAGCATCGTTGGGTCTGGCGAGTACTTGCCCTACAAATACAGAATGCTGCTTTGTCAGCTGTGCTTAGTCAAATTGACTGAATATCAATTATTAATTATTATTATTCGATTCAATCCAATATTATTATTTAGTCAAATCTTCCTCTTCATAAGTATATCTAAGGTATCTGAATTATAAAAATAGTTACCTTGATAATTTAAATAATATCTATAAATACATAGTGAATACACAAGTGGAACATTGATCCAGAAATCCCCTTTTCTAACACATCATAAAGCCAGGCAGCTGATGAAAATAATATCCAAAAGTGTTAGTACTGCATAGTGCTACTGGATAATCCAAGTTTTAAAGTCCCATTAGCATTACAACCGATTCTTCATATTGTTCAAACACCAACTGCCTTCTTGCCTATGAACTAAATGGTCTTTGAAAAGTTTCTGAAGATGGTGGTTCACATTACCCTCAGCTGCAAGGTGTAGATGCCCAGGAACATCCTGTTGAGAAATCAAATGTTACTGTTTTACATGAAAACTCAAGCAATCTTGTGTGGTACAGTCAGACCATAAATTACTTTTACATCTGGGTGAGATGGATTTCAAACTGAACACTACCTTTCCTGTTGTCTTGATAGGGTTAGTAAGTATGACTGCAACATCATTTCCCTTATCTTTGTTTTTCAAAACATAAGAATCATATTTTGTACAACTCCAAATAGGACAAATTCCTCTTTGAAAAATTAGAAGAAAAAATTAAAAAGGTCAATTTATAAAATAATCAGGTAGGAAGTTTGTCTTTGTAAGAAATCTTGTTATACATGAGATTAATATCAAGAGTTGATGGTGTAAACTTCTATCATGACCTGGTCACTCACTATGAAGATTTCTGAAACAACCAGAGCAGCTGCAATTACGCTCTACAGTCTTGGCCTCAGCAACTGTGAAATTGCTAAGTGAGCAGACATCTCTAAGCCCATGGTAAGTCTGTAGACTAGGTGTTAAGAATACACTGGTGCCACTGATGACAAACCAAGGAGTGGCCACCCTCATTGCACAACTCATAAAATCAGGATACGTATTGTGAAAATTTATCTTTTTAGATGATAATTTTCCAATATTACATTAAATACTGTACTATACTGATTTTTTACAACCCTGGATCAGACCACAGTAGCTGCTGTTAATAGATCCCTTCACTCTTGGATGTTAGCAGTATAAGGTGTTGTAAGCAGACAATTTACAAGTGACTGCACTCCATTAACCTCAATAGCAACAGGCCATCGAGGTAATCCGAGCCAAGTGAAGCTAACATGGAAAAGAGAATGACGTATGCTCTTGAGTATGCAGACAAAGATAGATTCTGGGACCAAGTAATCTTCTGCGACAAGAAGCGGTTCAAAACAAATGGTCTATGACTACTAAAGTGTGGTGCAAAATGAATACAAGGTAATTCTCTCTCCTAGTTAAATTATGTTTTCAAGTGTCAATAAGAGCACACAGTAAGTTTACTAATTGAAAAATAGTCCTTTTTCCTTTTTTGTTTTTCTGATATGCATCAGAGCATGTGTTTGGTAGCTAAAGGAGTGGAAGAATTAGTGTTAGTTTGTTTGGATGGATGCATGCAAGATGTATCAAGGAGCTGGCTTATGTCAGGCTGGGCTGGTTAACCGACTTGAAATCTATGGAAATTGTAGAGTAAGTCCTGCTACCCTTGGTGAGTGCAATGATTTTTCCTAAGCCCACACCATTTTACATTGGTGCAAGACAACAGCCCCATCCACACCTGTCACACTGTTATTGCATGGTTTTGGAATCACCCCAAAATTTTGCTACTGCTTCATCCTCCCAAATCCCCAGATCCTTACCCCAATAAACATGTCTGTGCAACGATGACGTAGAAGATGGGATTATGAAGCTAATAGTCAGAGCTGCCATCCACTCGAGTTGGCAATGCTGATGGGATGCCGTTGGAACAAACATGCTCCATGGCATCCACCCTGCTTTGGGTGCCTGGGGATATCAGTCCCTGATATCCCCAGGCTGCTGGAAGACTACTCTGGCCAGCCATGGTATTGGCCACACACGGCTCACTCATGGTTTTTTAATGGAGAGGGCACCCTCTCCCCATTGTGATGACTTTTCTGGCCACATTGACTGTTCAACACCTCCTGTGGGAGTGTCCCAGTCTTAGAGACCTTCGTCGTAACCACTTCTCCAGGTGCTGGAGGGGGGGAGGGGAGACGCACCTTACCATCTGTCTTTGGTGCTGGGGGGAGTGGGTAGCATGGGAGGGGGCGTCCTCTCCTTCGTGGAGGTTGCCGGCCTTCTATTCAAGCTTTGAGTTTTATCTATTAATGTTTAAATGTTTTTATAAGTTCTATGTTTTATATTATTTATGTTTTTTTTTGGCCTTGCATTATTTTTTTTAGCCTTCTAAGCTTTAGTTTAATTCAACGGCATATTACCTAACCTGTTGCATCGCTAGGGGTATAATTACCACAAACATTAAATCAATCTTCATAAGGATTAATGTAAATAGATGGTGGGGGGGGGGGTGGATTCCCAGCTTGCAACTTTCACTACATATTTTTCGATATACTGTACTGTATACTCCTCATGACCCGAGGCTGTTCGGGACTAGGTTCTTGTGTATACTGTAGTACTGTACCAATAAATGTGAGGAATAAATAAAATAAAATAAAAATACAGCACTGTATTTTGGGAATAGTTTTACTAGATGAGGGAAACTGTAGCAGCTAAGATCTCGACCACCACTCCTTCCTCCCTCATTTCAGGATTGATTCATTGCAGTAATTACATCCCTTGCAATGCAACAGCTTAGGACATATGTCGCCAAATTAAAATTAAGGCTTAAAAGACTATACAGTAATACCCCGCTTTACGTGTTTCATTTTTACTCGTTTCTACATTTACGCGGTACCCCGCCAGAACCGGAATGTTCACTTTACGCGGTGCATCTACTCATATACGCGGAGAGCGGCTTGCGGTCATCTCGCGCCGCGCCATTTTTGGATTTAAACCTCCCGCCATGTTGAGTAAGCGGCACAAGTAGGTTGCGCAGTGTATGTCTTCGTTGCGTTATCGGTGACGTCATATGACGTATCGGACTGTGATTGGGCCACGCATCCTTACCTCCCTCCACGCTAGCTGTGATTGGTTTAATGTAATATGACGTGCCCTGCCGCGGGAGCAATGAAGCCCCTTGACCTACCCGCGTCAGTTACACCCCTCCCGGTAGGTGACAGAGGCATGGTAGGTGATATAGATACATGGTAGGTGACAGAGCCATGGTAGGTGACAGAGCCATGGTAGGTGACAGATACATAGTAGGTAACATAGATGCATGGTAGGTGACAGAGCCATGATAGGTGACATAGATGCATGGTAGATGACAGATGCATGGTAGGTGACAGCCATTTTAGGTGACAGAGCCATTTTAGGTGACCGAGCCATGGTAGGTGACAGAGCCATGGTAAATGACATAGATGCATGGTAGGTGACATAGATGCATTGTAGGTAACATAGATGCATGGTAGGTGACAGAGATATGATAGGTGACATAGATGCATGGTAGGTGACAGATGCATGGAAGGTGACAGATGCATGGTAGGTGACAGATGCATAGTAGGTGACATAGCCATGGTAGGTGACATAGATGCATGGTAGGTGACAGAGCCATGATAGGTGACAGATGCATAGTAGGTAACACAGATGCATGGTAGGTGACAGAGCCATGGTAGGTAACATAGATGCATAGTAGGTAACATTGATGCATGGTAGGTAACATAGATGCATGGTAGGTGATACAGAGCCATGGTAGGTGACATAGATGCATAGTAGGTAACATAGATGTATAGTAGGTGACAGATGCATAGTAGGTAACATAGATGCATGGTAGGTGACAAAGCCATGGTAGGTGACATAGATGCATGGTAGGTGACAAAGCCATGGTAGGTGACATAGATGCATGGTAGGTGACAGAGCCATGGTAGGTGACACAGAGCCATGGTAGGTGATATAGATGCATGGTAGGTGACAGATGCATGGTAGGTGACACAGAGGTATGGTAGGTGACACAGAGCTATGGTAGGTGACAGATGTATGGTAGGTGGCATAGATGCATGGTACGTGACAGAGCCATGGTAGGTGACAACCATGGTAGGTGACATAGATGCATGATAGGTGACATAGATGTATGGTAGGTGACACAGAGCCATGGTAGGTGACAGATGTATGGTAGGTGGCATAGATGCATGGTAGGTGACAGAGCCATGGTAGGTAACAACCATGGTAGGTGACACAGATGCATGATAGGTGACATAGATGTATGGTAGGTAACACAGAGGAATGGTAGTTGACACAGAGCCATGGTAGGTGACACAGAGCTGTGGTAGGTGATACAGGTGGCCATATATGCTGAGATTTTCCCAGATAATTTTACATATCTCGGCATTTCCCGAGTTACACTAATGCATTCCGAGACCATATCTGTAAAGACCTGGGACTTAGGGATAGAAATCCCTTGCCAGCCTAATGAGGATCTTATTAGAGGAAAGTCAAGAACCATGGTTTTCTGAGGGATAACAAACAACCGTTCGAGATTGACATCTCTTTACTATGAAAATAACACAAGACTCTGACACCACTCACACAAACATCAAATAAAAATTACGGAGTCAACAATTAATGGAGTCAAACAATTAAGGGAATCAAACAATTAATGGAGCCAACAATTAAGGGAATCAATTTATTAACGGGAGTCAAACAATTAAGGGAATCAAACAATTACTGGAGTCAACAATTAATGGTGTCAAATAATTACGAGAATCAAACAATATATAGAATAATTCCTACGGCGGTGGTCTGGTGGAAGGTTCCGTAGAGCGGGGATCCCCTCTCAAGGGGAAGGTCAAGGCAGCTTTCTCAATTGGTGTCGGCGTTGGTGGGCGAGGATTTGCCACACAGGAGAGTCGCCATGGCACAGACGGCGTGGATGAAGTGGCGATGACAAGGCAGCCACGGTAGTAGCTGGGGTAGGTGTCCGGAGATTGACAGTCGATTTGTGAAGGTCTGGGGAAACAGCCCACGAGTCCAGAGCCTCAGATGAGAACACAACCAGAATTTGAATGAGCAGCGAGGTGCAAGTATAGCAGTGCTGACGGCTGGGTAGTGTCTGATTTGTGTGTCGAGGCAGCAGTCACGTTCTCACCTCCGTCTACCCCCCCAAGTGGGGGTCGCGAAGTAGAAAATGAGCAGCGGACAACCATCCTGCTCGTTACAGCCCTGACAATATCCATGCTGCGTTACATGAAATTCTGAGTAATCAAATGCCGAGTTATCGAGCGTTTACTGTACAGCTGTATGCAAGACTTATTCTATGTTATAGTGGGATTTTAAGCATTGCTCTGTAAGTATGGTATGCACACAGCATGTGTTCAGACTTATGTATAAATCCGACTTCAGAAAGTTCTCAGGAATGCTACCCGTTCGTAACCCGGGGACCCCCTATTCATATACAGTCAACCCTCGCTTTACGCGGTCCCACATTCCGCGTTTCCACGCTTACGCGGTACCCTGCCGAAACCGGAATGCTCACATTCCGCGGTGCGTGTACCCCTTTACGCGGAGAGCGGCTGGTGAGCCGCGCCATTTTTGGATCCAAACCTCCCACCATCTCTCCCGCCCTGTCCCGCCATCTGTCATGTTGTGTATGCGGCGCGAGCATGGTGCGCACAAGGTCGCCCAGTCATCAAAACATTACCGAGTTCTTCACCTGCCACCCACCACAGCCGGCCCAAGTCAGTGATAGTGATAATTATAGTGAGGATATGGACTTATATGGACTTTGAGGAGTTTGACAAAGAGGCCCTGCAAGCCTCTGTGGTGGATAGTGATACAATTGATGCAAGTGATACAGGTGAGGGCCAATAATCTGCCCTCTGCCTCGGAACCAACCCCCCATCCCCGTGTGCCCAGCCATCTTTTCTACTAATGTAAGTGTTAAAAACCTAATATTATTGATATTTCTTAATTGTGTGTGCATACCATCATAAAATTAAGAAGTTATTTTTACTACAACGTAGGTATTGTGTCTGAAAAAGTGGAGTTTGGGGGTCGGCCCGGTCTCTATTTCAATTAATCCCATATGTTATGTTGTTCACTTTACGCATTTCTCACTTTCCGCGGTACCCTGTGGGTTGAATTAACCGCGTAAAGTGAGGGTTCACTGTATAATATTGTAGTACAAAGCTGTAATGAAACTTGAAATTAAGAAAATTTAACAAAAACCACAGATTAGGAAAAATAAAGAGTGGAAAATGAATTCTGTGTGGGGGAGAAGGTAAGTAGGTGGGGTGGTTGTGTGGAAAGAAGGTAGGTAGGTAGGTGGGGTTGTTTTTCTTATTAATTTTATACTGAAAAACTCTCTATATGGAACTGGCTGACCAATTATTTTGGTACAGAGAGGTACAGTATTACTGTAGTTATATTTTTTTAACTGTTCCACTTACCTTGTATATTATCTTGACTAATTCCATGGACGTCATATTTTTCTTGGGATTGTCACTAAGAACCTTAAGGATCTGGCGCTCTCTTTCATTACGGTGGTCAATATAATGCTGAATTCTGGGCACAGGATCATCTATCAATGGCCCATGTCCAGGGTAGAGCACTTTTGGTTGCAAGTCCAAGATTAGCTGAAAAAATAGAGGAGGATTCACCCAATGAAGACACTGCCCCTACCTGTTGGTTGTTACATAAGAAAAAGTTATAACTGCAGAATGTGGATGGAGCAAAACCATCTTGAGAAATGTTCATCACCATGACTTGCACGAAGTTTCATATACTGTACACTTACCCCACGTATTTGCAAATTCACCTATCCACAAAAAAAATATTAGTAACACCATTATTCATGATTCGCGATCAAAATTCAGCTATCCGTGAGGCTATTACAATTTTTTGACCGACCATTGGCAGATGAGCATCTCCCGCACACACTCTGAGGTTTGTCAGATCTCTCGTGTGTGCCACACCGTCCTACCCCTCTCACTCTACTAGGTACATGGACGTTGGAAGGGAGGGGACTGTAGCACCTCAATATTGTGGGTAAAAGACAGTATACATTGCACCACAGAGTATCTAGGGAACCAGAATTAATATTCAGCATTCCCTGGTAAAATTTGGATATGGCGGTATTGAGCCAGTAGCCCCCAACAACTACCCCCATTCATGCCAGACCACTGTATGCAGAACATCTACAATTTTACAGTAAATCCAATAGCATAGACTTTATTTAATTTACAATGCAATTCATCTTATCCAAATTCCAACTATCTGAATCATCCAGGTACAGTATCTGAACTTTGTCCCCTTTGGTTTTGTTCAGTAAAAATTTTAATTTAGTCCAACAATCCAAATGCAATTGAATTCATTCATTCATGTGTTTGCCACCAGTAGCGCTATAACTACTTTATTAACATAAATTGCTAGGAGAAACAATAAAATTGATACATAGCATATCATAAAATATAAAAGCACATATTTTATGTAAAATAAATATAGCTCCTTCCACACTCAAACCATCATCTGGGGGACACCACACAGTTCAGCCAAGCAGTCAACCAGTTGACTCCAAGATGCTTGTGCGCATGTGTGTGTGTGTGTGTGTGTGCATGTGTGTGTGTGTGTGTGTGGTATAACATCGACAAGCAGCCATTAGTGAGTCCCGGCTCCCAGATGAGGGTCAACTCACAGAACAGGGGTCTGGCTACACCTTCTTCTGGAAGGGTAAGCCTGCTGCGGAGAGAAATCAGATTTATGGAGTTGGCTTTGCCATCCGCCAACGCATCCTACACAGGCTAATTGAAATGCCTATTGGGATCAGCGAAGGCCTCATGATGCTCTGAGTCCCACTGAATCACTCACATCATGCCCTTTTCATCAGCGCATATGCCCCAACACTGGATACAGAGGATGACATCAAGGAGGCCTTTTATGCCAACCTTGACAGAGTGCTAACCTCTATTCCCAGAGAAGACAAGGATGTGCTCTTTGGCGACTTCAATGCCAGAGTTGATAGAGATCCTAACATTTGGCAGGGAACCATAGGGAAAATGGACTAGGCAAGTGTAATCTCAACAGCCTGACCCTCTTCAGCAAGTGTGCTGCACACAACCTCACTATCACCAATACCTTGTTTAGGCAGGCCGACAAGTTTAAGGGTTCGTGGCAACACCCACGATCCAAACAGTGGCATCTCATTGACTACATCATTGTCAGAGAAAGAGATCGCTAAGATGTCCTGATCACCCGTGCCATGCGTGGCTCAGACCACTGTGACACTGATCGTCGACTTGTCAGAGCCAAGCTCTCACTTCACATTACCCCAAAAGACAAAGGCAGCAAGCTTCCAGAAGAGGTTTTAATACAAAGTGTTGCTTATAAACAACCCAACAGCAAACAATGCAATTCCCAGTGCTGAATAGGATATTCTCAACACTCATGACAAAAACCTGCAGAGAGACCCCCGGCTAGATCGACAGAATACACCACATCTGGTTTGATGAAAATGACCCGGCAATCAATGTACTCATCGATGATAAACGTGCTGCATTTCCTGACTGGAAGAGCAACCCTCAGCCTCGGACCAAAGCTGATACCTTCCGCAAGAAGAAAGCGGTGGCCCAGCAGGAACTTCACAATCTAAAGAACGACTGGCTTAAAAATTAAGCATGTGAAATACAAAATTATGCAGATCAGCACAAGATGCAAAAATTTAAAAATTCCAATAAAATGATTTCTGGGTCAATCAATTGTGGCGCAGCCTCCTTCCGCCCATCTGACAGTAACTTCATATTTAAAGACGATAAAGGCCCCCTTCAGTGCTGGTAAGAGCACTACCATTCACTGCTCAATCGAAACACCGATGTGGATGTCCTAACTACCCAGCATGTCCCTCAGCATCCAGAGCAGACCCACCTCAGCTATCCTCATTCCCTGGATGAGGTAGCTACTGCCATCATACAGATGAAAAATAACAAAGCCTCAGGGCCTGATGGAATCCCAGCCGAGGTGTATAAAGCAGGAGGACCTCTGCTTACCAACCGTCTCCACTCTCTCCTGGAGAATATATGGGAAAAGGAGGAAATCCCCCAAACCCTTAAAGAGGCCACCTTTGTCAATATTTATAAGAACAAGGGAGACCGGTCAGACTGTGGCAACTACCGTGGGATCTCAGGGCTCTCCATTGCTGGCAAGATTATCGCCCGAGTCCTCTTATACAGACACCTTCCTGAGGCGGAAAACTTCCTCCCAGAATTTCAATGTGGTTTTAGACCATCACGTGGCACCACTGACGTGATCTTTACTGCCCGTTAGATACAGGAAAAGTGCAGAGAACAGTGTCGTGACCTGTACATGACTTTCATCGACTTAACCAAGGCCTTCGATTCAGTCAACAGGGAAGCCCTCTGGTGAACTTTCAGCCGTTTTGGCTGCCCACCAAAATTCATCGCCATAGGTAGTAGGCAGCTACAAAACAGGGAGGTACTACCGCCTGGGAAAATATTGAAAGCATAACGTGTTGTCTAATGATAGACCCTGCTACCATTTGGCATCACAAAAATTGTGATCAAGTCCCACGTTGCTGATTTATCTTTCCGCCACATTTATACACAATTGCAGGGTCTCAATTGTCTCTCCTACTATTGACAACACAACAAATATAACCGTACACACTCTTGATCTGTTTTATTCATTCTATTTTAGTCTCCAGTGTCAGTTGATATTAATATTGAAGCGGGGCCTTCTTGGATGGGTCCCACTGGTCGGAAAGGTTGTGGACCTCAAGGCTGATCTGATCATCATCAAACAAATGGGGCCGCAACTGACACCACCGCAGTTGTTGGAGGATTGGCTTTTTTCACACTTAATTTTTTCAACATTCACGGCCTGAGATCCAATTTTCCTTCTATGGAGCACCATCTATTAACCTCTTCCCCCGACCCCTTACTACTTCTTGCCATGAGTCGGTGCTATCCACACACCCCAACACCGAGATCCTCTATTTATGGGATTTCAATGTACATCACAGAGAGTGACTTGGCTCTGCAAGGGATGACTCAGGTGGGGCTGAGGCACTCTCCTTTTCCTTACTTAATGATTTGGAACAAATAATCAAACACCTTCCACTCGTTCCTGATCGACACGATCAACTTGCTAACATTCTTGATCCTTATTTTACCTCTAACTCCTCACACTATTCATACTCAATTTCTGCCCCCTTAGGATCTGCTGATCACAATCTTATTTCTATTAAATCAAACTGGGCACGACCACCTCCCTCACCCCCCTCTAAACGTCAACTATGGCTCTATCGTAGGGCAAACTGTCAATCCTTGCGAGAATTCTTCACCGACTTTCCTTGGGATGAATGTTGCTTTTCCACTTGGAATGCCTCGGTATGTACTGACTGCATTGCTGGGGTTATACTGGGTGGTAGGAGTGCATTTATCCCATCTTCTACCAAAACTTTCACTTTATAATCATGGCTTGAGTGCTCCTGTTATCTTGCATGCAGAGTGAGAGATAGGGCATATCAAGCTAGGAATCGTTGTAAGGCTATTCTTCGTAGGGCCAAGCGGAATTTTATAAAAAGAAAGATCACTGTCCTGACTAATTCTTCCTCTAGTAAATCCTTCTGGTCCTTAACCAAAAACATCTGTAATAACTTCTTCACTCCCTCTTTTCCTCCTCTCTTCCGACCTGATAAATCTATAGCCAACTCTTCCCCTAATAAAGCCAATCACTTTGGCACTTTATTCTCTTCTAACTCCGCCTTAGACGATTCCAAATCAATCCCTCCTGCTCCTCCTGCTGAACCTATGCACTTTCCTATAATCTCCACTCGCCATTCTCTCTTGTCGGATCACCAATATGGCTATCGCCAGGCGAGATCTAGTGGTGATCTGCTCTCCTACTGCACCCATCTTTGGTCATCCTCTCTTAGGAATTATGGGGAAACTTTTGTCGTGGCCCTCAACATCTCCAAAGCATTTGACAGGGTATGGCACAAGTCTTTGCTTTCTAAACTTCCCTCTTATGGTTTCTCTCCCCCACTTTGTTCTCTAAGCTCTAGCTTCCCTGAGAACAGAGCCATGGCTGTTGTTGTCGAGGGATCTCTCTCTCTCTCTTTCCCTACCAATAGTGGTGTCCTACAGGGTTCTGTTCTATCACCTACTCTCTTCCTTCTTTTTATCAATGATTTACTTCACACTATAACTAATTCTATCCATTCTTATGCTGATAATTCTACTCTTCACTCTTCTTCACATTTTCCCCTTCCTCCTAACTCTCAAACTAGATCTGTTTCTAGAGCTGATATCATTACATCTATCAATGCGGATCTGTGCAGCATCTCCGAATGGGGAAGTAGAAACTTGGTTAAATTCAATTGTAATAAAACTCAGTATTTACCAACTACACTTTCTAAATTAGATGATCTCCCACCAATTACATTGCAGGACGCTATAATTCTGCCAAATTCTAAAATAGATATGCTAGGCCTTACCATTTCCTCTAATATGTCATGGAAGCCACACAACCTCAACATACTGTAGCTAAAGCTGCCTCCCGAAAGTTGGGAATGCTGTACAGATGCCGTAGCTACTTCACTCCTGAGCAGTTGCTTCAAGTTTATAAGGGATTCATTTGTCCTAACTTGCAGTGCTGCTCTCATATCTGGGGTGGCTCTTCTTGTCCAACTGTTAAATAGGGTGGAATCAAAGGCATTTTGTCTTATTAACTCTCCTTCTTTTATTGATAATCTCTCTTCCCTTTCTCTTCGCCACAATGTTGCTTCACTCTCTCTTTTACAGGTACTTTAATGGGCAATGTTCGGTGGATTTGGCATCCCGTGTACCGCCGGCAAGGCCGTGGGCTCGTAACACACGTCTTGCCCGCGGTGCCCACCGTTTTTCTGTGGATGTCGGTCACACGAGAATAACCCGTTATAGTACCTCCTTCTTTCATTACAAAGCCAAACTGTGGAATGCTCTGCCTTCTTCTGTTTCCACACTCATACAATCTGTCTCACTTTAAAAAGCTGGTTTTCCAGCATCTTCGTGGTGTAGATTAATATAACCTTTTTCTTTTCTATTTATATTTTTTTCTATTCTTAATTTTTTCCCCCAGGCCCCGCTGTGGGTCGTTCGACCTGTGCCCGGGTAG